ATGTAAGGTATAAGACGAGAGGAGAGGATTTTTTAATGGTTAAAATCTTTTTTTGGTTCTTGAACTATTGTACGGACCTTCGATTTGGTCCCTAAACTAAAAAATTTCCTGATTTAGTCTCTACTGTTTACTATTTTTACCCCGATTTGATCTTTCCGTTAAAAACTGTGTGACGTGACTTGTTACTTCACGGTTACCAGATGACATATCATATAGCAATCCACGTGGAAGACCAAAAAGTGATGATGTGGAAAAAATAATAATATAAAAAAATATTATGAAAAATATTATTAAAATTTTTTTTCTTTTTTCTTTTTTCCTTTTTTTCTTTCTCCTTTCCCTTTCCCTTTCTCTTTCTCCTCCCCCTTTCTCTTCTCTTTCCCCTCAGAACCCAGCAGGCCTGGGTTCCTTCGAACCCACCCAAGCGCTGGGTTCACACCGAACCCAGCATGCTTGGGTTTGGTGGAACCCAGCACGCTTGGGTTCGGTTCCTTGCGAACCCAGGCGTCAGGTTCGCAAGGAACCCAAGCGTGCTAGGTTCGCGTTTGGGTTCCTACAAACCCAGCACGCTTGGGTTCCTTGTGAACCCAGGTGCAAAAAATTAAAAAAAAAAAAATTTCTGTTTTTGTTTTTTGGATTTTGTTGTTTGATTGTGATGAAAAAATTGATTGATGAAGATGAAGAAGGCATTACTGCAAGTGTTAGGTGTTGGGTTCGGTTTGTCAATTTTGAATGCTAGGTTTTTGCAGGTGTTGGGTTCATTTGCAGGTGCTGGGTTCGAAATCGAACCCAGCAGGCGTTGGGTTTGAGCAGCTGCTGAGTTCCTGCAAGTGAGGCTATGGGTTTCGTTTCGAACCCAGCAGCCGTTGGGTCAAATATCTATTGAGTTCAATCTGTTGATTTGTTGTGTTATCCTTGAATTTAATATTAGGAATTAGGGTTTGCAGAAGGTTAAAGGAAAGGGAGAGGAAGAAGAAAGGGAAAAAGGAAAAACAAACGAAGAAAAAAAAAAGAATAAGAAATTTTTTAAGATTTTTTTCTTGCCATCTCATTTTTTTTCACACTGTACATCCTAGGTGTCAAAATGTTTTAACAGGTCATCATTTTCCCCATCAAGTAATGGGACACGTAAGTTGATATTTGATGGAAGGACCAAATCGGGGTAAAAATGATAAACAGTAGGGACTAAATCAGGGATTTTTTTAGTTTAGGGACCAAATCGGAGGTCCGTACAATAGTTCAGGAACCAAAAAGGGGTTTTAACCTTTTTTAATTAATTAAATTGTAATATTTAAAAATATTATAATTTAATTGATGAAAAACTCCATTTCTCTTTTTTATTCTCTTCAAACTAAACATACTATAATAATAAGTATTTTATAGTTTAGTGTAGTTAAAACTACATAACAATTTATTTTATAAAACTATACTAAATAATCATGAATATAAATGAGATTATATAACTAGATTGAAAAGGTTTATAATTATTTATTATTTTATTTTTTTATTTTAATTGAAATAAAAAAAAAACCACTAGTAACGATATTATGGAATGAAACTAACATTAAGCCCTCAAACTTAAGAGATTGCTGATTTTAAGCCCTCCAACTAAAGAAAACATCATTTAAACCCTCAAACTACATGAATGCATCAAATTGGCCCCTCATTAACGACAATGGACTTCCTAGTGTGCCACCCATAACTTGTTTCATTGATGCTAATTGGGCCATGTTTTAAATACATGGCATTAGTGGTAGGTCTTTAGATACACATGAAACCTGAGTTGACATTGATGATCTTTATAATAGTAAAAAAATTAAATGAGAGATGACCAATTCAAAGGTAGTCTAAAAAATTCCTAAATCACATGGCAACAAAACTACCCTTTGGAGGCCTATAGATAAAAACCCTAGTTCTACAATTTAGAAAATTTCCATACTACCTTTGAATTGGTCAATGCTTATTTGCCCTTCTTTTTACCATATATTATGAGAGCCATTAATGCTAACTTAGCCTACCTGTGTGTCCAAAGGCTGTCATTGGTGTCACAAATTTTAAACATGGCCCACTCAACATCAATGGAAAGGGTTATGGATGACAATTTATGACGTTCATTGTTTTGTTGTTAATGAGGGGCCAATTTGTTGCGTTCATGTAATTTGAGGGCTTAAATGATGTTTTTTCAGTTAAAGGGCTTAAAATCAACAATCTCTTAAGTTTGAAGGCTTAAGCTAAATTTTTACTTAACAAAATTATTATTGTATTAATTTTATATTTGAGTTGAGAAGAATGGAACAGAGGGAAATGAAGAGGAAGGGAGGAGAGAAAAATTATATCCTTCCATTTCTCTTCTCTGTCTTTCCCTTATTTTAATAATTACTTAAATTAAAAAGAAAAATAAAATAAAGAGAATTTTTCTACTCTCTCCTCTCATCTTTTAATTTTTTGACAACCAAATAGAGAACATCTTTCCCCTTCCTTCCCTCTTCTCCATTTCCCTTAGCCATAACATACTATAAGCTTTATTTACTACATGTTTGGGTTGTGTATGTTTGGATTAAAAGAAATGAAGGTGAGGGAAGGCTAAAATTTTTCTCTATTTGATTATAAAAAAATTGAAGAGGAGGGAAATGGAGGAATAAAATTTCTCTCTCCTTTATATCCCTCAACCCAAACATATGGTTAGGATCGTTGCGAAGTGCTTTAGCTTTGGGTCTTTTATTATTATTTTTTTTATCTTAAAAAAATATAAAATATTAATTAAAATAATTAAATATCACCTTTAGAGCATTTTAAGTGATGCTTTTTTCATAATATATAAATGATAATTTAAATTATTTTAAAAAACTATTTAATAAAAATTACATATTAAGAAAAAAATTTTACCATTATTATTTATATACTAAAATAAAGTATGAGATTCATGTTTTACCATTCAGATTGTACATTAAAATTGTAATTTATTTTATAAATTTACTAAAATATCTTTGATAAAATTATTTATTAAATAATTTTATTAAATGTATTTTAATAAATTCATAAAATAAACTGTATTTTTAACGTACAGTTTATTTTGTAAAACACATTTTTTTTGCAAGTATTATTACTTAGAAATAAGTTTTTGACAAGTAAGATGGACTAAAAATAATATTAAATGTATTTTGTACACTTTAATATTTAGAAAACCAAAAAACCCAAAATTACAACTACAATATAACATTCACAAATGAAACCTATATATATATATATATATATTAAATAAAGAATTAGGATCATAATAAAATTGTGGCAAAATTATACAGCTTTTTTTTTTTTTTTTTCAACCGAAGGAGACAAACATGATTTCCTGAACTATGTTATGCTAACAAGAGAAATATGGAATAAAACAAATAAATTTAGGGTGCATTTGAGATTACTGTGAAGTGCTGTGGTTGTAGGTGTGACTGTAATTGTGACTCTGCTTAGCTGTGGCTATACTGTGCTGTAACTGTGGCTGAAAGTTATTTTGATGTTTAGTTATTTACTTTTTAAATGTATTATAAATGAAATATGATAGATTTTATTAATTATTAATTAAAATTTTAAAAACATTGTAACATATATAATTATTAAAATATATAATATTTATTATTTTTTAATAATTTAGGTTTTTAAAATTTTTTTAATTATTAAAGTATTGTAAATTATGATATAATTAAATTAAATGAAATTGAGTTTTAATAGGTAATTTTATAATTATATTAGGTATTCTCTGTAAAAGTCACAGCTAAAAAATTCTAAAATGAGGTTTTTGGCTTTATCCATAAAATTACTGTAAATTTACTGTAGCTTTTTGCAGCTTAAAAAAAAAACAATTTAAAAAAAATTACCAAACATATATATATATATATATCTAAAAGCGCTGTCTGTGTTGTGTGACCACACGAAAAAACTTCCAATCACAATTTCAAATGTACCCCTAGTCTCGTTGTCTCTTATACCCAACTTTCTAATATCCTTACCAAAATAAAAAAAATAATTAAAAATTAAGATATCTTGATATTTATAATATTGGTATCATTTGTAAGATTATTTAAATATTATTAATAAATTTTGATAAAAATGTTTTTTAAATTAAATATTTTAAATTATAACTTTAATATAAATAA